TTTGGCCTCCTAAAAAATTGCCACTTTTTACTTTAGCACATGAGTAGGCCAAAGGATGAGACAGTGTCTACCATCTAGGAGATGACAGTGGTGTTGGATGGGAGGGTTTTTTGGGGTTGTGGTTGGGTAGTTTTTTTCTCCAAAAGAGGTTACAACCTATAATATAAAATCTTATATAACAATACTAGAAATGTAACATTCTAAATACAAAAGTGAAACTTGTTTCAATCTTAAAACATATAGATGAAAAATTAAAGATAAACAAGAAAATTTAATGAATTAATCATAGAAATCAATTTTTGGATAAATTATAATATTCAGATAAAATTAAAATATTCTATATAATTAAAAAATCAAGTAATGCAGATATTGAAATGAATTCTCAATAGCATCATTTACATCTATTACAATCAATTCCAAATCTACACAAAGTCTTAACTTCTATTTTACAGAAATGCACAAGATACTTTTAGCGATTTTGCTGTATATAAATTAAAGTTAGAGTAATAGAAATTCAATAATAAAAAGAAAAAAAAATGGGATGCTCTTTTTAAAAGAAGAAAGCTATGGGTTAAAAAACACAGCTTTTTCGAACGGGAGCTGATATCTTGGATGAAGTAAAAGATGTAGATATAGAAATCTTTGGTGTCATACTAGAATTATTAAGAAAGGAGCAAGGTAAAGATTGCATTGGATTTTTATCAGATATTGGGAATCAGAAACAATTAGAATTATAAATTTTATAATAATTAAGGAATATTACCCAAGCTGATATAGAATAGAAATTGTCTGTTATTGGAAATGACATGAAATAAATTACAAATTTATTAAAAAAATTAAAAAATCATGACTTCAATTACAAAGACTTTTCCTCTAAAGAGAATGAAGAATCAACATTAAGTTTAATTTAAAGCATCAAAGATAATAGAAGGATCATTGAATTTTTGTAATTTTTAGTTCACCTTACAGCTATAGATAACACTTTTATCTAATGTGGATCTAATTCATTACATACCTTAGTTTAGATGAAGGTAGATATGAGTAACCAATCTTTTGTAAATATCAGGATGAAGAATACTTCTTTAATTGGGGGTAACTTTGTTAGAAGTAACTTGAGTGGATCTGAGTTTGATAATGTAGATATCAGCGGATTGAATTTGAATGGAGCTTAACTATTCAATTGTAAATGGAAGAACTTGAAAATCCATGAATTGAATAGGTTGGATGGTCATAGTAGTTATGTTAAATAAGTCTGTTTCTCTCCTGACGGAAATACATTAGCTTCTGGTAGTGGTGATTGTTCTATTCGTCTATGGGATGTCAAAACAGGATAATAAAAAGCCATATTAGATGGTCATAGTGACTATGTTATGTCAGTTTGTTTCTCTCCTGATGGAAATACATTAGCTTCTGGAATTGGTAAAGGGTCTATAATATTATGGGATACTAAAACAAGAAAGAAAAGAGCCAAATTAGATGGTCATTCATATGGTGTAATGTCATTCTGTTTCTCTCCTGATGGTAATACATTGGCTTCTGGTAGTGTAGATAAGTCTATCCGTCTATGGGATGTCAAAACAGGATAATAAAAAGCCCAATTAGATGGTCATAGTGACATTGTTATGTCAGTCTGTTTCTCTCCTGATGGAAATGCATTAGCTTCTGGTAGTTATGATAAGTCAATCCGTCTATGGGAAATCAAAACAGGATAATAAAAAGCCAAATTACATGGTCATAGTGGATATGTAATGTCATTCTGTTTCTCTCCTGATGGTAATACATTGGCTTCTGGTAGTAGAGATAACTCTATCCGTCTATGGGATGTCAAAACAGGATAATAAAAAGCCAAATTAGATGGTCATAGTAGTTATGTCTACTCAGTCTGTTTCTCTCCTGATGGAAATACATTAACTTCTAGTAGTAATGATAACTCTATCCGCCTATGGGATGTAAAGACAGGATAAGAAATTAAATCCTCTGATAAAAACTACAAAGATATTCTTGCATAATTAAAAATCCCACTCTAATAAAATAGTGCAATATAAGAAGGTAATATTATTTTTTTTTGATATTTTAGCATCCAATTACATCACTACACTCCTCATATCTTAATAGGCCATATTTTAAGCATAAGGAGCACTAATTTTGAGAGGAGAGTTTATCAATCAATCAGGTATAGACTTAAAGACATTGTTTAAACAAAAAGGAAGTTGCATTTTAGAAGACCTTAAGTAAAAGTGATAATTATTATTCATAAAGAATATTACAACAATTATTATTTTAATTCTTTCTTTATATTTTTTTAATTATATCTTTTTTTTGCTCTACTCTTTATTTTGATTTCTCAATATTCATACAAATTTTTCAAAAGTATTCCATTTTAATGAAATGTAGGGTATATTTATTAAGATCTCTTTTAAAAAATTGATATTAATTAACATTTATAGAGATTTAATGTTAAATGAAACTACATTAAATTAATAATCCAAACAAAGAACAGTAAGCTAAATAAAGAGATTAAAATAAAGATTGATTTTAATTACTTAATTGAAAAATTATTTAATAAAACTGCATGATTATTTCATAAGATATTCTGATAATTTATTTAATTTATTATTATTTATAAACATAAGTCTTAATAGATATAATTAAGAATTTTGTAAAATTAATTTATAAATAGTAAAAGATATATTTAATAAAAAAGATAATAATCAAAAAGATATGACAAGAATTAAAAAAATA